GAGGGAGAAAGAGACAGGAAAGAAAAAAGTGTATTCCTGCATGGACTGTATCTGTCTGAGCCCGAGTCTGTAAAAAAAAAAGAGAACCGAGTGCGTGTTGTCTCGACCCCCGGGGCTGAGCTGCTCACGAGCGTGTTCGAATCCCTTCACACACTCGCAACGCGCCGTTTAAAAGGAAGCGAGTGAGGTGATGAGCGATCGTTGCTTTAGTTCATGCGGTTAAACTTTTGATTGATTATCGGCGGGGTGAGGAAGGGAGAGGGGAGGGGTGAGGGGAGGGGAGAGATGGGAGGAGGGAGGGGAAGGGAGGAGGAGAGGAGGGAAGGTAGGGAAGGGAGAGGAAGGGAATGGGGAGGGGAGAGGAGCGGAGGGGGATGGAGAGGGGGAGGAGAGATGAAAGGGAGGAGAGGGGAGGGAAGGGGAAGGGAGGGGAGAGGCAAGGGTAGGGAGGAGGGTGGAATGGGAGGGAGAGGAGAAAGGGAGGGGAGGAAGTTGAGGGGAGGAGGGGAGGGAGGGGAGGGGAGGGGAAGAGAGGCGTGGGGAGGGGGTGAGGGCGTCGATCGGATCTCGTTAAAGCCATGCAAGTGTCTGTAAATCGGATATTTTCAATTGTTGTTATGGATTTGGAATATACTCATTTTCTTCGTCATCTTCTTTTACGTTTTCATTTGTTTTTCATTGTGCTTGAGATGTATTTGACGGGTTTGGATGGCATCGTCGTCTGAAATACATTTATTTGTGACGAAGATAGGACCGGAACTGGTCAAATAGGCCTACATCCTTTGAACGGTGAAGATATTCATTCTCATTCATACCTTTTTTTTTATCTATATTTATTCGTGTATTTTTTCGTATGTTTATTTTCTTGTTTGTGTTTATTTTATACGATTGAAGTGTGTGTGTGTGTGTGTGTGTGTGTGTGTGTGTGTGTGTGTGTGTGTGTGTGTGTGTGTGTAATTTTTTATTTTTTATTTTTTTATTTTTTTTCTTTTTTCATTTTTTTATAAAACGTGCATCTTATTATAATTGTTCTTATTTCCTTAAAACACTTTTGGTTCCGCGGCAAGGAAGGGTAAGGAAGAAGAAAGCACGAAGGAGGAAAAAGGAAGAACAAAGGAAGGAAGGAAGAGGAAAAAGGAAAAAAGGAAAAATGGAAGGAAAGAACAAAGGAAGGAAGGAGGAAAAAGGAAAAAAAATAAAAAATAAAGAAGGATGGGAGGAAGGACTGTGGAGGAAAAAAGGAAGAAGGATGATGGAGGAAGAGGAAGGAAGGAAGGAAGGAAGGATTAAGGAGTCGAGAGGTTTATTTCGTTAATTAAGGCGACCGTTGATGTGTGAGATCATCGAATCTCTGCTGCTGCACGCGTCGCTGGAGGGACCCAAGCCACCGCCATTATTATTATTATTATTATTATTGTTGTTGTTATTGTTTTGTTATTGTTATTGTTATTATTGTTTTGTTATTGTTATTGTTATTATTGTTATTGTTTTGTTTTGTTATTTATATTGTTATTATTATTATTATTATTATTATTATTATAATATTATTATTCATTATTATTATTATTAATTATTATTTTAATTATTATTATTATTGTTATTATCATTGTTATTATTATTAGGATTATTGTTATTATTATTATTATTATTATTATTATTATTATTATTATTATTACTATTATTTTTTTATTGTCATCATCATTATTGTTATTGTTATTATTGTTATTATTATTTCTATTATTATTATTATTATTATTATTATTATTAGTAGTAGTAGTAGTAGTAGTAGTAGTAGTAGTAGTATTACTATTACTATTACCATTACTATTATTAGGAAGGTCAAAGTATCGCCATCTCCTTTGGGTAATCTATCCCTCCTTCTCTCTCTTAATCTCCCAATCTCCCACTCCCCTTCCCTTTCTCCTCCCTTCTCCTCCCTTTATCCCTTCGTCCCCCTCCTTTCCCCATCTTCCTGAGCAAGAAGGGGCGTGGGGGATTTGGGGCGAAAGGGGGGGGGCAAGAAGGAGAGTGGGGGGGGGTGGATAGACGGATAGATAAGAGACGGATTGATAGATTGATTTGAGGGGGGGGGGTGAATAGATAGATGGATTAGGGGATGGATATAGATACTTAGTTGGATAGATGAAGAGAAAGGTCGAATGTATAATAGATTAGGTGGATAGATAGTTGAATTATTTGTTGGATAACTCGGTGAATAAAGAAGAGACGGATAGATAGATACTTGGCTAAAAGGATAGGATGAATGGATGAAAGAGTAAGAGTAAATGATGGAAAGGATAGAGTAAAGGAATTAAGTAATAGAGTGAATTATGGAGAGAATAAAGTCAATAATGGAAGGAATTGAGCGAATGAGTGGACGGATAGAGTAGATAATAGAAAGC